TTCCTGCTGTTGATTTCTCTTTCCCATAAGATTTGCATTCTTCTTATTCCCTAGGCAGATGCCTTTTCTATCTAGTTTACAAATTTATAATCGTACATTATTTATGAAGAACTTACTAGGACAACAAACTTAGGAGCCTAACAATAACAAAGCATGGTGTGTATACATATGTACACACATGCAAACACACACTGCTGGACGATTGTCACATTCCAGTTTAAGAATGAACTTAAACCAATATGCTTGCTTTTATCTATCAGTGCTGTACTATATGCTATGATGGTTAAATACCATGACAGCTAGCTGAGGGAAACTGGCATTGGATGATTACATTTCTAGATTTATAACCGTCTCCGAACATGGCTAACCGAGCTCTAGCAGCACAGTTTCTGAAAGGCAGCATTTTCCGATCATTGGAGTTTGTCAGACTGACACTGTGATACAATGTAGAGGAGAAGGGAACCTGAGGTCAAAAACAGATTCAGGGATCTGGAAATGTGTTCCTGTAATTGAAGAGCTGTGAAAGTTACCTAGCTGTAGTTTTTGCTTCCAGCGTGGTTATGCAGTCACAGATGCAAGGCAGCAGGTTTTGACTTCAGCCCTTTAGTGGAGATTCTCTGTTTATCCCACGGAACAACAACAAATGTAAATAGCCTCTCCAGCAAATGCTCTGTTTGTGCCACCTTCTGCTAAGTGTCAAGCAGAGACAGAAGTCCTCCAAATAAGAGAGAAAACTAGAAGAAGAAAAATAAGGAAACAAAGTAGGAACAGGACAAAGCTGACCCTTAGCAACACCAGCTGGATTTACCACTACTGATGAAATTAATGCATACCTAAAACCAGACATCCATGCATAGATGAGAGGCCTAGAATGAAATGCAGGAGAACCTGTGTTTTCTATCTTTAGGATGTGAATATGCACAACACTTCCAGAAAAGGTCAGGTGAAACCAGAGTCTGACCTGTACCTCTCCTAAACTCCCCCACCCCTAGTTCTGGGATTCGGGTTTGAGATGGGAGAAGTAACGAAAATTCCATGAAATCCACTAGCAACTTCGTTATTGCCATTCGCAGATACTACAAAATACTGAGAAAATACTGAGACAGCATAACGATAAGGGGCAGTACATGTTTCTAAGTGATTGTGCAAGTCAAGCTAAATCATCTGTATGAGAAACTTCACAGATGAGGTTATTGTGATTCTTGTCCCTGGAAAAGGAGAGTACTGTCCTGAAAATGTGAGGGAAAACCACACCAGTCCGTTTCAATCCAGCTAATCTCAAGATCCAAAACTTTTTAAAGGAAAACTGGATTCTATAATTGCATTTGCCCTGCAGCTGCCTAAAGCCCTGCCAACTTCTTAAGTGCAATCATTACGATACAGGCTGAACATTTTGAGCTGATTCTGCAGCTTATCAACCGCATGAAAGGAATTATCTATTTCAGGCCATTCAGTGAGTTTGGACTTCTCTAGATTCAAGAATTAATGGGAGTTTTCTGGGAATACCATTCAAAATTATGTCTGCCATTTTCTGCTGCAGATAATCAAGATAACAATATTTTTTTAGTCATTTTTCTCCAGTAAATATAATGCTGAAGAAATGAGTCCAGGATGTGGAATACAGAGAGACCAAGAACTATACGAAGCGTTTGTACTGTTTTCTGTTTCGTATAAGCTATTCTGGAAAGACCATAATAAGAGATTTACAGGATAATCAGTCTCTATGCTTCTTTTACTTCTTTGACTAACTAGGGATGCCTGTTTGCTCACTGCGTGGTGATAATTTGCTTGTTTGCTTATTAACAATTG